ATAGGCATGGCCAGGGCATGCTCACTTTTTGGTTCCCGGTACTTGATGATAGTTCCATCCATGGCAGCGGTCACTGTCATGCTTAAACGGTGGAGGGGAGAGGCACAATGCCGGGTCCCAATCTGCCTGTGCCGAGGAACATTTCCCACGCCGCTTGTTTTCTTCTTCAACGTCTTTCCTTTTCCAACCGATCCTTTCGAGATCTGGCAGTGACATTGACCAGGGCATGTTTGACGGTCCGGCCCTTTATCTCGGTGACTCAGGTCGGCGTCATTTCATAGCGTGGAACGAGCTCATCAAGCTCGTCATTGTGTCATTGTGTGCTTGGAACCAATCTGTCAAGTGTCAGTGTCAAACGTCAGCGTCAGAGCCATGACCCGAGTTTGTATGAAGCCATGTGGAATAAGAAATGACCTGTTCCAGGCACGACCACGACCTGTGCCAAGGGCAGCCTCGATGGATTGATTAGATGGCCCGATCTTGGCGGTCCCGGTGAGTGCCGGCTTGACCAACGGGGTCCGACACAATGGTCTTGCACCAAGTGCGAGGGCACATGGCAGGGGAGTCCATCACTTTGCCGTGTGTCCCTTTTCCGACGTGGCCAGAGCTGGATATCCGCATTCGTGTCTCTCGACGTTGAATCTACCAAATGTGAGCCTCGTGAGCAGAAAAAAAAGAGCACCACTGTCGAAGCAACCTCGCAGGGTCTGACGGGGCGGTCAGCCGGGAGCATTGCCTGCAAAAGGCAGGACGAGGCAAGGCGAAGGTCCTGACGGGACGGCGGGGATCTGGGCTGTAAGCGAAGACGACCACGATGCCCATCCAGGTCGTTGATCTGCCGGGAGGGAGGTTTACCAAGCCCGCTGCCGTTGCGTCTTGTTGGGCCTTGAATGTTGTTCATGTTCGTCTCAAAAGTTCGAATGATCATCCAAACGATTTTCGTCTCACCTTGTTGGAGAACGACTGGCCCTTTCGTTCGTCGTTTCTCTTCCGCCATGGCTTCTCGTCCAGTACAGTAAGTAGTACGTAAGGCACGCGGCACAGGAATTAATTTGTCTGCCAGATAGGTCCTGGGGAAGTGCATGCATGCAATGTACGCAATTTGGGCCAAGTACCGGCTCCGACAGGTGCCGCCTAGACCGCGGAACAGTCCATTCGCCGGGCCTTTTTGCGTCTCTGCATGGTGTCGTGGGTAGTACAAGTGGCTTCGGAGGTTCCATTCGAAGGGTATCATATCAGTCACTCGTGGTGCTTGGCGGCGTCAAGATGCATGGTATGCTGGCTGTTTTGACTCGGATCGGTGTGGTTTGACACCGTTCCGTGCTGTCCGTGATGAAGTTGGAGGCTCAGGACCGCGAAGGACAGGGCCGGAGGCGAGTTAAGCGTCTTCTGATAATATGGGCTGACGGGAGGATGAGGCGGCCGGGCGTTTCTGTCTCCCACGTGTTGATTAGCTCGTCCAACGCCGACGGATAGTTACGAGCAAGTATGAGGGAAAAGGTTATTGTATGAGATGTGGATAGGCGGTTTCCAGAAACGCCCCATCTTTACGAGTTGTAAGTGAGCAGCAGAGTCATGTTCAGTCGTGATGCGGGCGGAACGGCTGTTACGTGCTGCCACCCGTCATAGTATATTGTATGTACCGTAGTAGGTTTTGTCGGCCGGTGTGGAGAATGCAATGAAAGGGCCAGCAAATGCCCTCAGCTGAGTCCCTGTCCGGGATGCCCTACTGCGCGGTCGAGGCTTAGGGGGGCATTGCACCACGTAGCAACGAGTAAATTTGGGCAATTTACAAGCTGCCCTGGACTGTAGCTGGCTGGATGAGGCCGATGGAGATGTGCGTGAGAAAGGAACCAGCGGATGGATTTCCTGATAGCCCCTGTCTGAAGGGTGACCCGGGGGTTACACGATGCCCTGTGACTCGCTCAGCGTCGGTACATCTGGCGAGCTCGCCGGGGATGCCACTGATGTTGAATGGAATCTCGCATGTTGAAGTCAGTACTCCAGCCTGACCGGCTTTGACTCTGGGGCTGCATCAAGGTAAGGTAGGTAAGGTGACATACCCTCCAAGTTGCCAAGGGAACTTCTGGTGGTGGGATACAAGATGGAACTACTGCGTAGTAGGGACGGCAATATCGAGTTGCTGCTCGGGCAGGCGGTGCTGCAAGTAGCCGTTGACTCGGGATTCACAAGCGTCCCGCGCACCTTATGTTGACTGCTTCTGAGTCTGATGTCTGTGATTCAATTCTCATCGTGCATACCGAGTACCTGAGGTGGACAGCGGGTGGTTACATGATATGAAGGACGATTGCGAGGTTTGAAGTCCCCGTAGTGAACCGGACGGCGTTGACTTAACTGCCTCTGTTAAGACCAAGGAATGCGGTAAGGCAAGGTCAGAATGGAGATGAAGTACCGCGACCCGTCAGTGGAGTTTTCGGCCTGTTCCTTCTTCCATTCCTCCACAGAAGATCTCTCCCTGCTTCCCAGAATCCACAGCTCAAATGCATTTTGCGGTGTCCATCTCATGTGGGCATTGAGCGCCGGGAAGAACGTGGTGCCCCATGTTCCTCCCATGTTCTGGCTTCTCACTCATGGCTTGGCACAAAAACAAGGTCTCTTATTACCAACTTCACTTCAGACCAACCTACCATGGTTGACTTCAATCTGTTGGGTCGTGAATGCCATGTTGCTCCATCATACTCTCACAGTGTCCGCTATGCCGAGTCGGGCTCGCCCAACCCGAGTTTGTCTCTGTTGCTTGTTCTATTACGTGCATTTGACGCCCGGCGTAATTCCCGTGTTGGGAGTCTTGGAGAGAATGATTTCCTTCTCAGTGAGAGCGTCAGCGTCAGCATGAGCATCATCGACACATACACCGACCGCGCTTAATTGCATCCTCCTGGAATGAGCTCGCTGACGCCACAAAACATTTGGGTCTTTTGCAACGACCATGCCAGTGCATTATCCCGTCCTGCGGCACTCACCATCTACCTGACCCTGTCCGCCAGGTTCCTTGCTGGGTTGGCCATCTGAGGAGGCGAGCTGTCTATCTCGCATCCCTTCTGACATGCCAGAAAACTGCACACGCTGCTTTTTTGCGTGCAGCGACATCACTTCTCATCTCAAGACCCCACTCATCCATCCGACTTACATCCTGGCCGTCCATATGTATCTCGAGTCGTGTGAGGGGAGAAGAAAGGACGTAGACGCCACAAAGCAGGTACCTTACGCTCGTTAGCCACGCGAGTCTGCAGCAAGCCGTTTGTCTCGAACACCAAGGTAGATGGATGTTAGATGGTGACTTGACCACTTTATCGACCTTCTCTATCTCTTCGTTTTTTAACCTTCAACGGCATTGTCGAGCTTGTTTTAGGTACACAGAGAAGGGCGATAAGGTAAGCGGGAGCGGGTGGCTTCACTGCCTGTCCTTGTTTGCCTTCGTCCTTGCCTACGGACCCGACTCGTCTACCTGATTTTTTATATTACATTCCTGACTTTGCTTGTTTCAATGCTCAACGCTGGACACGGACACGGCGGCACTGACCACGGCTACAACAAGGCCTTGTCCAACCCAACCCATTGTCGATGGCCTCCGAGACACTACTGGGAGTCGGGATCGGGATAGGTTGTTCGGGCTCTGGAACATTTGGCCCACGAGATGGACCAACAGGATGTCTTTCCATGCCCATTACCGAGCCTCTCCTCTCCGTCCAGCGTATTCTAAGGCAAGGAAGGTCTCTCTCTGCAACAGACGGACAAGTAGGTACCTTAGCACGCGCCCTGGTTGCGTACCTGGTCTCGGTACGGAGGTACTGCGGACTCTCGAGTGGCCATACCTACCATACGGATACGCCTTCGCAGCGGTCTGGTGTCTTTCTGTTGAATGGGTCATTCGTTCGGGGGAGACAGAGAGGAAAAAGAACATGGGGCCGATGGGCGTCAAAACCCCATCATCCCAGCCTGCCAGCCCCAGGCCGGTTCCTTGTCGCATCGAGACCTTTCGACAGAACGAGACAAGCCTCTCTGGTTACCCCCCATACCCCGGCATGCACGCTACGTTAGCAAAGCAGCTTGCCCCATCTTTCCCCAACATCGTGCCCTTCCCCCCTTCCTCCCCTCCCCTCCAACTCCCTGACCCTCGGTCCTTTCCTGCTGGGCCCTTCTCATTCCCCTCAGGGCTCCGCTCTTGTCCCGGGGCCCTCGTTGGGTTGGCTGCTCTCTTCCTCGACTCGATCATTCTTCTCCGGACACACACAGCACAGCAGTACCTCATGTACGAAGTACCTCCTGAGCTACCCTACCTTACCATCCATCTACTGAGTACCGTACGGATACTCTTCGTACATACGACTCTGTGACCCTAGCTACTCTATTCTATTTTTCTTCTGTTCCCTTCGTGCAACACTCTGCCTTGATTGGACTCGGGCTCCTTGTCAATCTCTTCCCCTGGTTCTGTAACCGTTCACTTTAGCTCCCCTGCTGCTCGATGCATCCGAACTGCCTCCCAGGGCGATGAGGGACGAACACACCCTAGCTCGTTGCTGCACTAGCCACCTCCACATGTCTACACACACACACACATACGGCCACTGGAGTCTGGGACTGGGGGACAGTCATCATTTTATCTGCTAGGCTAGGCCTGGTAACCTCCTCTCTGCTCTGCTCTGCCTTTCCTTACTTCATAACTTCACCGGCCCCCGATCCCGTCTCACTAGTCCGGCCTCTGTTCTGGTTTCTGTGCTTCTGCACTTTCACAGCGAACATCTTGTACACGTCGTCCTTCATCGACAACTAGACGACGACCCTTACGACAACTCGGAGCCGCCTGACATGTTTTAGAAACCAGACTGGCTTTGCGGACAGCCAACGCCAACCAGGGCCAACACAATCTCGCACCGACGTCAACTTTTGCTGTTGTTTAGAGCTTCATAACGACTCGAAGCCTTTCGGTACCTCTTCCGACGACCAACTCAGATATGACGACGTCCATCTTCGAACCAATGAACGGAATGGCGCCTCCAGGAGTTCACCCTGTGGCCATGTCCCGTCCTCAGGTCGGCATTGAGCGCCTACCGACACGACGGATGAGCAATGAGCCGCGGGAGTCAATGAACTGCAAGTCATGCCGCAAGCGCAAGGTGAGACAGACCACGGAACCTTCTCGTGGCACGGCACGAATAGGAAGGTTTCCATCGCAGACCTGAATCGGCGTCTTACACATTCGTCTACTAGATCAAGTGCAACCGACTTCGCCCCTCGTGCGAAGCTTGTCAAGTCTTTCAATGCCCATGCATATACGGTAAGTCAGATGGTGCTCTGAGATGCGGGCGTAAAACAACTTGGAGGGGCTCGTTTGTGACTAACTTGTTTGGTTTCCTTCCTGCAGATGCCGTGCCGAAAAAGCGTGGACCCAAGACGGATGTGCTTGAGGCTCTTCTCAAGAGAGTGGATGGCTTGGAAGCGAAATTGAAAGAGAAGAACGCCGGAGAGAAGACACCGACGACTCCCACCTCAGCGGGCATCAAGGAAGAGGAGGCTTCGCGGGCAGAAGACGACACGGAAGAAGACAGTAACCCTAAACGCCTAGCCTTGGATACTTCAAAGATCGACGTGGATGAGTCGGCCGTCTACTCACCTGCCCCGGCAAGGTACGTCGCTATTACACGAACTTGCAGGACAGAAAACTCATTGTTGCAGTGAGCCATCGCCTCCTGGTGTTCAGCCCGACGCCCTCCTGGACACATACTTCACGAGGTTTCACTCCAAACCGTACCACATCCTAGACGAGTCATCAGTCCGGCAACGGCTTCAGTTGAATCAGCTGCCGAGTTACCTGGTTCATGGTATCTATGCTGTTGCAGCAAGGTATGCACAAGACAACGTTGCAGAGGACGATTTGTTGACATGTGCGACAGATATACGCCTCATCCCAGTGGTTACCAGTCGGCGGTTCATCTGAGCGAGGAATTCGCGGCGCGGGCAAGGGCAGAGATCGACACGGATGAGCCTTCGGTGGACGCCTTGCAGGCACTTCTCTTGCTGGTTATTGCCTTCACTGCAGCGGGTAAAGGCAAGAAGGCGTACATGCTGATGAGTAGGTGGTGGGAAACTTCACGAACGAGAACTCTGCTGACAGATTCGCAGCGAATGCCGTCGGGATGGCGATGGCTCTGGAAACACATCGTGAGATGGACAACAACGCCCGAGTAACACCTGTGGAGAGGGAAATGCGCAGGAGGCTATTCTGGACATGCTATCTTCTGGACCGATTTCTCGCATGCGGATCCAAACGCCCGTCCCTCATCGGCGACAAAACAATTCTCCTGAGGCTGCCGTGCTGGTCACCCAACCCATCAGCACCGCCGATGGACGGTGAATTCTTCCAGTCCGGATCCAATCTCCAGTTCCTCCAGGGCAGTGGGAAGAAGTCGCAGGGAAGCACAGGCATGCTCATCGATATCAGTCGCATTCTCGGCATCACGAACCGATACCTGGCAGCGGGAGGTGTCAAGGGAGACTCTCACTTCCCCTGGCACTCGCTTTCGAACCTGTCCAAGATTCGCCAAGACTTGGATATTTGGGCTTCGGGCACCGAAGATGTCTTTTCGAGTTTGGACACGCTATTTGGTCAGCCCGATTCAACAATCTTGGTCCTGAGTAAGCTGATCTACCACCTCATACACTGCCTGATCTACCGTCCCTTCCTTCCCATCGACCTTGCCGAGCTCGCCGGAACCGGACAGCATCAGTCATGGCAGATAGAGGCAACCAACATGTGCTTCCTGCACGCCAATGCCATTTCTGAGCTTGTCGAACTCGGAAAGCAGACGGGCACGATCGAATGGCCTGCTTTCGTGGGCTACTGCATCTGCACTGCCGGTACAGTCCACATCCACGGCGCTCACTACAACAAGGCGGGAAGCGGAGACTCGACCGTCTTCAGCATGTCGGCGGACTTCCTATCGAGGGAGATGCAGCAACTCAGCGAGCTGCGATATGCGTGGGCCAGCGTTCAGCACCAACGAGAAACTCTTCAAGGGATTTACAATGCTCACTCCGAGCTTGTCAAGAGCTTAGGGAACAACCCCATGCGGTACTCTCCGGCGTTTCATCTGGAGGATTTCTTCGATCGGTACTCTAACATTGGTGGTCCTGGTGGTCAGTCATTCAACTTTGACGCGGCGAACTTGAGTCTGTCCGACGTTGTTGTTGACTTCACCACCGATACGTACACGGGACATGATCTCTACGCTCCTCGCGCAAATAGCATGCACGAAACTGAACGGCCAAACCTCAAGCGCAAGAACACGGCCCCATCCGGCCGCAAGCGCCCTGATCCAAAGGTCCTCTCTCCTCTCAGTACCACCAGCATGGCACCTCCGCATGGGCTACCGACGCCATCTCATGCTCGTCACTCATTCTCACACCCCACCCCGACGGTGGCCACTCACCCTTCCCCGGGACTGTTGGCAACACCCACGTCGTTGCCACCTCACCCTGAGATAGTAGAGCACGGCTCTATGTCCATGTCCCATGGACAGTACGACGAGGCAGCAGCCAACAGCGCGGCAGTGGCGGCGGCGGCGGCTGCGGGATTCTCTCTTGGACCTCAGCATCACCAGCAGAGCAACATCCCCGCGCTATCTTCGACGCCGTTTTCTCCACAGTTCAGTTTTGCGACTCCCGGTCCAAGTGGCAACAATGAAGGGGGCGGCAGCTACGATCCGATGTTTGGCGGCTTGCCAACCAACGCCTTCGGCAGCCCCGCCGCATGGCAAGGCGAAGAGACAGGAAACAAGGCAGTAGGGGTTGCGGCTCCTAGCCCAGGGAACAAGAGCAACAACGGCAGCACCGGAACCGGTCCCGGCGAAGAGAAGGACCCGTTCCTGAGCCTGCTGGAGCAGCTCGCCGAGAACGAGCACCAATTCGCGCGGCCCGGCAGCGAGCTCGACTTCTTCTTTGGCGGCGGCGGCGCGGCGCAGTAAGAAACTTTTGTACGATTCGAACGATTCCTCCACCTTTCTGCAAATTCTTTTCACCAGCACGATACCTCTATTTCACGCATTTTCGACGGACACTGGCCTGGGCCTTCTTGTTTAGAAATCGGGAGAAAAGCAATCGGGATGGGAAACGGCACTTTCGGACGGAGCGTTGACGACGGGATGATCTAGCATGTCCGGGAGTTTCGGCTGTGGTGCTTTCTCGGAGGGGGGATCGTGTAAGAACAAGCATTTATGGAACTTGGAATTTTCTGGGTAATGGCTTCCGGGAGGGAAGCCGAGAGACGGATGTGTCTCGCGAAGGAGGGACTTTATTCTTCTTCGTCGCTGGGCGACGGGTCTCTTACTGAGCCCGATTTTGGGGGGTTTTTGAACTACGGCCAGAGTTTCCAGACTCTGTAGTACACGCTTATCAGAGCCGATCATCAAGAATAAAAACACTACCCAAAGTCTGAAGTCTGTCTACTCAAAGCACCTCGAACCTATTTGTCCGCTATCTCATCTTGGAAATTCGGGGACCTGTGCTATCTTGTAGATGCTCCCGGTGTACCTCGGTCTGATCCGATCGGCCCCCAAGCGCCGTTGCCGCCTCTGCACGTCTGGCACACATGTCCCGAGCTGCTCGCTTGCTTCTTGTGCGCGCAACTGCCAGTCCGGCGAGGAGCCAAGAAGCAGACGCGTCTTGGCTCTTTCTCAGCGGGCGATGAGCGTGCTCCGCGGAAGAGGGAACAGGTGGACACGGTCCTGGGCCTTCATCATCAATCAATCCCCCCCATTCCCCATGCATTTGCATTTGCATTACCTTCCCGCCCCATCTGAGTTGCTACTGAGATGAAGAAGGAGTCAGGTAGGTTGTGCGGTTTTCTGGGGTACCTCGTGCATCTCGGCCGAGCGGAAGGGTACGCAGACCAGGGGGGTCTTGGTCTCTCTTTTTACGATGAGGGAGGAGACGGGGGACCACCCCCAAGAAGAATCATGTGCCGAGGACCCGTTGGGCACCTCGAATGCGGGGGGAGAGCGAGTGAGACGAGAGAGAGAGGCGCCAGACACCGGGGTTCGAATACGACAGGTGAGAGTCCCCGGTATTCGCTCGGGTCGGGAGGGAACGGTACGGGCAGGGCAAGGCAGGCAGGGAAATTGAGTAGTTAGGGCGATGTTTTCTTTTCTAAGTGTGTGTGTGACGGCGGTGTGTGCGGCTCCGTTGTCTTTCAGAGAAATTGGAGGGGGAGAGGAGCAGGAACAGGAACAGCAAGACGGAGGTTCCGTTCTGACGGGACATCGGGCCGTCGCATCTGAGGCCCTTTGATTTCTTTATTTTCTTTTCTAGAATGAGAGACATCGTAGGGGGGGATATAACAGAGGGCGATATGGGTGAGTGAGTAAGGGAGGTACGTAGTAGTGAGATTGGGGTTCGTGTGGCTTGCGTGCCTGACTGACTCTGCGGCGGACGTACCGGGTACCGTAGGGGCAGAACGGCGGGACAGCTGTATTGCGTGGGAAGAGATGGAGAGAGGGGGGACTAAAGCACGATGTTACGAGGCCTTTTTTCACCTTCTCGTGATGGATGCTCAGCTGGGGGGACGGGATGTGTGTTCGTTCATTCCTCCCAATGAAGGATCGTTGAAAGGAATTAAAAGGAATGGACGCATGGAAAAGAGCCATGTTTGTTTTGATGGTTTTCCGTGGTTTGCTTAACCCTGGACCTGGGTGGGAGGATCTGCGGGGATTGAATTGCGGGGGAGGAGACGTGCTGTGGAGGGTTCATATGGGTTTGGGAGGAAGTGATTGGCGTGTTGGGGCGGGATAGCGAAAGTTTGGGCGGTTTATTATGAGATGGACACGGGAGAGACGGAGTGTTCTTATGGGCTGTTGATTGGAATTGTTCATGTGATGTTCTGTGGCGGTGGTTGGGAACGTAGGTCGTGTTGCACGGGAGGACGGGTTGGCCGACGTGGTATTATCGACACTTCCAGTTCGGCTTTTCGTTTTGTGTTTTGTGTACAATCAGCGCTCGAAGTCGTTCAGGAGCATACTCAGGAAGCAGTGTTTCGTCAGTCGTCGATGTGTCGTACCTATTTGTGCGGTAGACCAGCGGGCGAGACTGGTCTGCAGAGTGTCCCCGAAGTGTATGTTTAAAGAGCGAAATGCTCGATCCGGACCACACTGTATACAGAGCACACCTTAACTGCATATGATAGTGGCTAGAGCAATGGTACGAACCGCATGTAATAGCTAAGGAAGAGCATTATCCAAACCATATTCAGTGGCGGTCAGAGCAATGATCTAAGATGTACATAATTTGCAGTAGAGCTTCATTATACTCATCAAAGAAGGAGTGAAAATAACCAACTCATCACTAAACTCTTCTACACATATATCTAGTTATAGCTGTTATAGTTTTCTAAAGGCCAGAGGCACATACAGAGGGCTGATAACTACGGAAGTACGGCCAACAACAACGACACAAGAGTGAACGACAACGAGAAGAAAGCAGTAAGAGTACTGTGAATGATTGACTTGACTTATCAATACTATTCTGAGCAAGAGCTGGACTGATTCTGGAATACAGAAGATGAAGGAGGACTGGACGCGGGAAGCCGCTGGCCAAGGCCGACGTGCTGGCGGCGGTCGTTTTCCGAATATGCGGCTATCTGTCGAGAGGAAGAGGGCAGTGGACACAGAGCTGACTATGTGTCTCAGCTCGGTCTAAGATGTCATGGGGTTTAATCGCATACTCTAGGCATACGGCTCGTGAGTCTCTGGTCTGGCTGCGGCCGTGAGTTGAGTGTTTACTGTTTTGACAGGTGATCTCGTCTTACATCTTATACATGCTTCGCCTGAAAACATTAGCTCTCCTGAGGGTATACAGACGTGTCAGGTGCAAGAGAAGGCTAGGATATTCTGTCGCGAATACACACTATCTAACGTGCTTCAACTTCATATAAATCTCGCCTCCTTTCAAAGCACATGCCAACGAAGCCAAGCATAGCAAGGACGTTGCCCAGTTTCAGAACAAGAAAACCAGAGACAGTTTAATCGATGGTATAACAATAGCCTTAGCGTATGAATCTCTTTCAGCAGCATACAGAGCAGATGCTCGGCTTCACTTCTGCTGTTGCCGGAGTATTCCATCATAAGACACTGTCGACACCGAGCCAGGCGTCAGTCTCGAAAGAAGCATTCCAGAGTGCAGGGATGACTTGTTGAAGCTTGTGCCAGGGGAAACCGGTTATGTGGGAGCGTCAACTGGACATGGTTGTCATTGTCCGTTTCCAAGTCTGACAAGATCTGGAACCTATGCTTTAAGTACCCTAACGAGTAGTATATGGATGTTGGCCTTCACTTGAAACCAGTGTCGTCGCTCTATTTGGGGCATTTCTGGGACGGAGCGAAGCATATATCTCTCATGAGGGGTGGAGGCGAGGAGGAGGCGTATTGGGTCCAGAATCTTCACGTTTCATATGGAAGACCACAACTCCAGTTGCATAGGGTCCTTGGCCACTTCCAAAATCCATCGAATAACATCTTGAGCAGCAGACTGAACAAATGCTGGATGTCACCTCTACTGTTGCTTGCGTGTTCCATCGGAAGACATTGCCAACACCAAGCCAGTTGTCAGTCTTTGATCAGGTGGAACTGGAAGGCTAAGGGAGCAGTTCCTCTGTAAAGAAAGGTACTCGAGGGTGCGCCCGGTACTCAAGGTGCGGTCCGTTGCTCTTGACGAGACACTATGTCATTGCCATGAAAAGATTCGTCGTGATGATGGATCCGATGCGTTTAAAATACAACAGGAACGGAAAAGACACGGGCATGGTAGAAGTGCTTTAGCGGAAGAGCGGACGAGTTGTCGCTCCCTAGGTCAGATCACGAACATCGTCGAACAGTGGCAATGTTCCAGATAACTCTATTCGCGTTCTCGTATCTAGTGCGGCATGGGGTCTGATTTGAAGCCCAAGTTTGCGTCTCTCAACGCGAAGATGTCACTGAACACTCGGATTAGCAATCACAGCTTTGAGCTGTATACCCCTGGGTCCCCGAATGGTTCATTCAGGTGGAATAATCACACGTTCCGGGGAAGAATCGCATCTTGGACTTGTTATGTATCGACTGAACAGGTTGCTCGCGTATCTGGAACTGTACACAGACATCTGTGAATGTTACAGTCAGCTGGCGCTCACTCTCGGGACATATTGGAGATACCTTCAATGCTGCCCGGCTCCATGTTGGTCATGAGAAGCCGGAAAAACAAACTATCCCGCAGCCATCGTCACTCGTTACCGTCTATAATTTGCTCAGGTCGCGGTATATCCCAGCACCTGAATAAATCACGGGTCTGTTATGCGTGCTAGACTTCCCTGTGAGATGGTCTCCAGACACAAAGAGCTCGACGCGGCCGCAGAGTACGTGTTGGTGAGTACTGTTTCCTTGTTATGCAGTCCTCCACAGACCTCACTTGCCGACGAAGATTCTTTGCTGTAGAAGCGACCAGGCGTATTTATCCTGAGCTCCTCATCTTTGTGAGAGGAAAGGAACATTCAACACGGCTCTTGCAGGCTCTCGGCGGGGTGCGGAGAATCTGGTTCGCTACCGGTGGCTATTCACGGGACTTTGTGATATGAAAGCGGTTACAGCGCAAAGCTTCACGAGAATACAAACACACATGAAGATGTATTGGCTATAAGCTACGAGAACTAGAGCTTGATTCGGTCAAATGAAGTCGCAAACATCCCATCACCTAGTATTCAGAGGAAGTCACTTGCCTGTGAGGGCCACGTACGCTTCGAGTATCAATGAGACGATATTAGGATGAAGAAACCTAGTATCTAGAAGCCTAGGACAAGGCTTTAGCGGTCTTGGGAACGGCTGAGAGTTCTTTGAGACGGGCAATACGTCACTGTCATATCGCGATGGATAATTCGTACGCATGAGATTCAACGTCGGGTCGAGTCGGGTTGGGCAACAAACACTCGGCTTTCTATGTGTCT